CTCCAGAGGGCATCCAAACAGCTAATCATAACATAAGGAGCTAAGTGCTCCAGGGCAGTGAGTGCACTTGCTGAAGGCACTTTGACCTTAACCTATCCCTGGACACCTAGGCAGTATCTATCTGCTGGAATGAATACAAGAGAAGCAGGGGGAATGCTCCCTGCCCTTGAGAAATGTCTAGAAATTAACTGGCAATTCCTCAAAAGTCCAGAGGATGATAAATTATGTTATACAAAGAAAATGGCTCTCAAGTGTGTAGGAAAGAGAAATCTAAGTTCATTTTTCTTTTAGGTTCTGAAGTTGAACAGGAACTGTATTATTTATAAGGTGATCCTTAATTCAGTTTAAGCCTGTTGTACAGGCATCTACCTAAAGACAGGTGCTCATTCCAGACATTAAGCAGGTTGGCATGTGTGTGGGTCAGGTGCTCAGTGTTGCAGGCCTAACTGTAGAAACAAGGAGATCGGTAGTTTGGAGATTCTGCAAGGGTTCTATTCATATATGCCGCATCGTCATTTTTTATACCTACCGCACATTTGATTTCCTATCTACTGGTAGCTTGAAAAAAAGTTGCCGTCAGTAATGTACACAGTGTCCCTATGTAATTTTCCAGGCTCTTCTCGGCAGACCTCTCAATCATGATTTAGGACACACTTGCTTTTTTTGTTTAAATAAAGACTGCACTGTATTAGAATAATGTAAGTGCCTGCCTCTCCCATTATGAAACCTGGTTATTCTGGTGGTTAATTTCTATTACTACGAACATGATACACTGAGAAGGAATTCTGTGGTGAATCCACTTGTTATGAAATTTATTTTTAAATTTAAAAAATAATAAATTTTCTATCATCTATCTATCTATCTATCTATCTATCTATCTATCTATCTCTATATATATTATTGATTTTTTTACAGAGAGGAAGGGAGAGGGATAGAGAGTTAGAAACATCGATGAGAGAGAAACACTGATTAGCTTCCTCCTGCACACTCCCTACTGGGGATGTGCCCGCAACCAAGGTACATGCCCTTGACCGGAATCAAACCTGGGACCCTTGAGTCTGCAGGCTGATGCTCAAGTTCAGATAGTAGGATTAACCATTTGCGATTCATTTAAAATGTTTAAGCAGAGCTTTCTCATATTTTCTTTTTCTATTCCTAAAACCATGACAGTGGGTTTGTGTTTTGAATCACATAAGAAAACTGTTGTTTACTTGAAAGGTAACTATAGACTTAGACACAGGTTTTGCTTTTCAAAGTACACAAACAATTTACTTATACTTTGGCTTGCCAAACCATCTCTATTCTTTCACGTTAGATACCAAGAAATTGGATCTGCCAAATTTTAACACTGGCATACTAGTACATTTGAGCTTAATAAAAGTTTGTAGAATGACTACGAGTAAATGAATAAATAGACTTTCAGAACTTGAGAGGACCTTGGGATTCTAAATGGATATAATCAAGCGGTTAATGAGACTTCTACCCCTTCCTTGTGACTCTAAGGAGAATGTTATTCCTAACTGGATCTAAGGCAAGGACTTTGGACTCATGGAAAAGGTCTTTCATATGAATTTTTTTCAAAACTACATTATTCACAAGTCAAACTCATTTTACATGATATGAACTAACTCAGGTGGCCAAAATTACCCAGCACACAAGTGGCCTGAACTCTACATAAGTCAGGCTTCTGTCTTATTCTTTAAGAGCAATTCTCAAATTTAATGTGTGTATAAATTTCCAACGTCGAATAGTTGAATAAGGTCACCTTTACCACAGAACAAGTACCAATGAAACCTAAATTTTGTAAATCGTTCAAACTTTATTTTGGGTCTAGAAATCTCATGTCCCTCCTTTTTTCCCCCCTGCAAAATTCACTCAATTCCATAATTTCAGTCCTTTTTGCACTCATGATTATTTTTGGTCTTTGGCTGAAACTATAAACTGTAAAATAACAGCAACAATAACAACATAATAATAATAGATTCCAATTCTTTTTCAATCTCGAAAGTTTGAAATTTTGTGTTAAAGTTTGATTCTGGGTCGATTGGAATTTCAGCTGAACAAGTTTATGCATCCTGAGAGATTAGTTCCTAAGAGAATTTCTGACTTATTTAAAAGGAGAATTTAAGATATTTCTATTAGGTTATATGAAGCTTCAAGAAAACAGATTTTTAGATTTTTCTTTTTTCTTTCTTTTTCATAATTGAGATTTTATTGTTCATTTTGAGGACCAGTACACAGACATTTCAATTTGTACACAATTCTTAACATATGTACCAAAATTATAAAGTCATCTGAGCTATTTTTTTCTAAACAGTTATTTTAGTGACTTTTGAGCTTAACATTTGGAGACTAATTTTCCTTAATAGAGTATCAAGTACCAATATCTTTAAATGTTGATATGCGGTAACATCAAAGTCCCACTAATTCACAATTTAATATCATATATACTACATTATCAAATTTTCAATCTTTCATAGCAAATTAACAAAATTACTAGGAAAACGACTACCACATCAATGATGCACAAAATTCTGTAAGGGAGAACCAAGATAAAGGGGTGGTTTTCTTTAGGGAACAATTCTGCCAAAAACATGTGAATAGAAGTAATTTAAGATGTTCAAGACATAGGAAATGCATGACTGACTCCAACTACCATTTAGTATGCTTTGTAATATAGGATATGAAACTGCCCCCATCTATATAATGTTAAGCTGAAGAAAACGGATTTTAAAAAAGAGAATCCTGAAATTATGAACAATTACAGGTAAATATTAAAGCAATGGAGATTTGGTAAAAATCCCAATAGCATGCTGTTCTTTTTTTCTTTAATATTATATTTCTTTGTTGATTGCCAGTTTGAACCACTTTCTTAATCTCTTTTTTAATTAGTTAGAGTAAAAGGGAAAGGAAAACAAGAAGTCTGTAGGCAGCACCCACTGCTGTGTTTGTTCAACTTGTTGCTACGAGCCGACAGGTTTACTTCTCATTGATAAACTTCATTAGAAGACACAAGGTAGGGGGCAAATGCTAGAGTAGGAATGGTAACAGTTTTGAAAGACAGGTTAAATTAGACACCAAAGCCTGAAAGGCATTTTGTTTGGGTGAAGAGTTTGGAAGCTTTCTCTAGTGCTGGAATGTGGTCATTTATATGGCAAATTTAGAATGTTCCTTACTTAGTAAAGGGTGTCCTTATCTATAGAATGGTGACGAGAAGTTGCACTATAAAGTATCATACTGATGATGACAAATAATTTATTAAGTGTTTATTATGTGACAGACACTGCGCTCAATGTGATTTACCTAATTTCAATCAATGTACAGTAACACCATAGGGTAGGAATATTCATAGCCCATTTTATAGTCAAGGAAATGCAGGCTTAATGAGGTTAAATCATTTACACAAAGTCCCCCAGCTCATAAATGACAGAGATGCAACTCAAACCAAGTTCATCTGATTTCAAAGCCCAAAATGCCTACAAATATATTAAAAATAGTAAGAATTACCAAACTCAAACAAAAACTTTGGAAACAACAACCAAATATAATTATTACTGTTAAAGTATAAATGGATTACTTCCATTGATTTAGTACATACGTTTGTGTTTATGAGTAGGTTGTATAGACAGAGAAGTCAATGTAACTACAAGGAAAAGTTAGGAAGGATATGCACCAGATAGTCAAACTGTGGAATGAAATGAGGTGAGCAAAGGAAGGACTTTATTTCTTTATCTACTTTTATTTTTGAAGTGGTGGGATTAGAATATACTTTATAGTTTAGGTGACTTTTGTATTTAGTAAGTAATATTAGTTTTAAAAGCAACAAAAATCATCTGTCTAAATGATTAATTATGAATCTAAAGTTATAAAATCTTAGACTTTTCTGAAATAGTTCATGAACTAGTATAAAGATGTTGAAAATATATGACAGCCCCTTTTAACATTTTTTTCTTTATTGAAAAAGGTATAGGTGTAAAATTTTGTAATATAGACAATGAAGAAATAAGTAAAAATTCCACCAATTCTCATAATCCTCACAGTGAATTAGAGTAGTTGTACTCTACTGTATGATGGTTCTTGCAACTATTTTAGTTCCTGTTTATTTCTGAGCTGTAGCAAGTTTTAAGTACCATTGCAAAAGCAATGGTACAATAAATCAATCACCCAGTGGCAATTTTCTACAAATTGTTTTCTATGCATATATACTTTTTTTTTAAAGTATAGGAATCTTAACATATGTCTACACAAAAACTTGTACACAAATGTTTGTAGCAACATTATTTATATAACAATTAAAAAGTGGAAACAATCCAATGTCCATCAACTGATGAATGAATAAAAAAATGTGGAATAGTCATACAGTGAAATTTTATTTGGCAATAAAAAGGAATGAAGTACTGACACAGGCTACAACATGGATGAACAAAGTGAAAGCAGCCAGTCACAAAATATCACATATTATATGATCTCATTTATAGGAAATGTTCAGAATTGGCAAATCTATAGACAGAAGTAGATTAGCGGTTGCCTGGGGATGTGGGAGAGAAGGTAAGGAAGGGTTGGGAAGTGACTACTGGTGGGTACAAGATTTCTTTTTGGGGAAATGAAAAATGTTTTAAAATCAAATTATGGCGGTGATTGTGCAACTCTAATCATACGCAGAACCAATGAATTGTATACTTTAAATGGATAAACTTTTATGGTATATCTATTATATCTCAATAAAACTTTTTTGAAAAGCCTTATGCAAGTGTTTTATTAATCTTAGCATAGCTGTACATGACAACAGTTCTAGAAATTTTGGACTTTATCTGAGTTTCCCTTCTGCCCTCTCTATCACTACACTCCCAACACACAACACCAGGAAGAAACTTGGTTGATTGTGATTCTTTTTATGGAGATTATTTTTCCCCTCCCAATATGTTTTGAATGTATTTGGCTGATACCTTTCTTGAATCAGCAGCCCACAGATAAAAGTAAAATGAAGCAGCAGAACCTACCTTCAATTATATGTTTTCTTGACAGCCCTCTTTCCGTTTCAGCTCTAACAAGAAAAAGAAGCAAATGACTGAGTGGGGTGTGCTTTCTCTTATCGCTGTTTCAAAAGTACAGAAGAATGGTTGTTCTGGATGGAACTGCTAATTTTATACCCTGTTCTTGGCAAACTCTGCACCACTGCAGGCTGAGGAGGAAGGCTGGTGGGCAGCATACTGAGCCCCTTTTCTTCGGAGACCCCAGGAGATGAATTAACATGACTGTCACCACCCCACAGTAATAACAACTCGGCCACCCACACCCTGTCCATATATAACTTGACACATGGCTCACCCTCCCCACCTTGTTCTTACCAATCCCAAGCAAAAATGAAATAAAAGGTTTGCTAGAAGTGTGTGAGCTTACTATAAGCTTGCCAGGCTGCTGATGGCATTAGCTTTTCTGAGAAAGGAAGCAAATTGGAAAGTGCCTTTTGACTTTCAAAAGAAATGAACAATTATTGTCTTTTTATAAAATGTGACCAAGCAACTTTTCTGTAAATTAGTATCTTACAAAGACCAACATTCAACTAGGACTTTTGCCATTTCAGACCATTCTCAAACTCTGGCCAATTGGAAAGGAATGTGGTGCTTGGGTTTTAAAGCATTGCTGAAATGTTTCTTCAACATCTATACCTTTGTCAACCTTAGTAGTTTACCATTCGCCTTTGGTGACTTTGTGCCTTTTATATTAGATAATACTATATATAGTTCTCTACGACATACTGGTTCTTGCAGATTGTCTTACTTCCTGATTATTTCTAAACCATATGCAAGGTTCTGAGTACCACTGCAAAAGCACCAAGCAATGGCACCACGAATCAGAGCATAGACAATGTAAGTTTGCATTTCTCACAGGCACCATGCTGCCTTGTTTTCATATAGACTACAATGGTAGTAAATATCTAAATTCCATTTTTGTTTCCATATTCATCACAAGCAGGCTCAAAACAGCAATAAAATATGAGTGTGTTGGGGGGGGGGTGGTACACATACATTTTGGTTAGAAGATTTCTAAAAATCTGGTCTCTGCCTCCAATTTTGTTTTTAACTATTTCCTATCAATTATAGGGTGATAAATAAGGTTATGTTTGTTTGTATTTACATTTTGTTAAGAGATCCTTGAGACTTCCATGCAAAGGCTTATGGAACAGCTTGCTGTATTCTTACATGTTTGTCTTAAAGGCCGGGACTTCTAAGTCCTGCTGGATAATGTAAGTACCAGTTCAAACACCAGTAGGCCCATCAGAAGCCATTCATCCTGTGACATTTGTTCTGCACCCCATACCAGAGAGAGGTCTTCTCTTTCATGTGGCCTGGCAGCAAGTGATCCAGAAAGCTCTGTGTTATTCTCCAGTGAGATGTCCCCTTTATCAGCACTTTCAGAGCCCTCTGCGGAAATGCTCAGAGACTTACAGTGGGACCAGACAAGATATTTTTATAATGTATTCCGGAGAAGTCTCTGAGTGTTGGCAGAGCTGAACAGCTTTTCTTTGATGATGCTATGTGCTCATTTCCTTTTCCCAAAATTTGGACTCTATTTTGGTCCTAAGTATGAGGTTGAGATTTGAAAAATCTCTGTGAATCACTTAGTAACAAGTGACCTCATGCTACTAAATTTCTTTGGAAGCATCTTGTTAAAATTGAATCCTAGGCTAATTGCTATTTCCTTCAAGTGAGAAATAATCATCTTTCACTCTAAACCAATTGATTTTGGCATATTAGATGTGAAATAGTGGCCTAAAAAGATAAAACTACTAGTTGTTTCCTACCAAGTAGGGAAAATAAGTTATTTAACTTACTTTCCACCCCAGTAGAGTTTGGTTGTTATGACCAGGCTGGACCTCCTGTATGTTAAACAGACAAACACACACAGAGAAATATTAAATTATTTGTAATCATACTGTCATATTATTATTATAACACCCAAAGAATTTATTGTACCACACATTTTTAAAAAATTGGCAAAGAGATAAATTTGTTAATTCACATCACTAAAATGTGAGAACAAAGAAGCTAGTGAGTGGGGACTTGAAGTCAGATCCCAGAAGAAGAGGTTGAATAGAAGTGATCTTTACCTGGAGGGGCTGGAGGAGGTTGAGGGTTGTGACAGCAAATAGGTGAATGGGTGGTGGCAAAGCGAAGGGAAGGGTGGCATGGAGGGTCAGAAATAGTAAATGAGAAGGGTTAAGCGATAGGACTAACTGATGGATTGCTGTAGGATCTCAAATGAACAGCCACCCACTAACACTTAGCATCTGACATAACCCTGATTGAGTGTGAACTTTCCTGGGGGTAAGTCCACCCTCCAAGGACCATGGACCTAATGGTTCTGAGTTACTACTCTTTCTAATCATCACATTCACAGGCAGGATTTGACTACATGGAAATATGAATAATGAAATAAATTGTAATGTCAATAAGTAGGAATTAAATTTCTATGAGTGTCATTTTAATGGAAATGTTATTTTAGGAAAACAGTTAAAAAACCCTTAACTCAAAGTTTTACCACCTTATTCTTAAGGGAATACAATGTGGAAATCTTGTTAGCAAATGTATTACTTTTTCAAAATCACACTCAAAGGGAGGAAATGCCATTATGATCATGGAAAAGGAAATATGTCTTGAGAACTATAGTCATGTAATTTAAAATTTGAAGGTGGATCTCGGTGTAATTTAATTTCTCCAGGTATGTAATTCAATTGAACTCACCTAGAAAAAAAATCATTTGTGATTCAAAGGTTAAGACCAAACTTTAGGAATAGTTGAAATAAGACATTTATAATTTCATCAGCTGCAGCAGCAATGCCTCAGGACCGTCAGGTATAAAAACCTAACCTGATGAATGATAACCAATGAGAGACGATGGTAACAAGTCTGACAACTTGGCTGCAACAAGAAAAATTCGTAGAAAATGTCAACAACCGCATCCTACTGAAGTTAATTCCCTGAAAACCAATGTGAATCACTGTAATGGAAGGTCTACAGATATAAGCATCTGAAGATTACACACTCCAGAAGAGCTGGTGCACTTTTCAGGTTGGTCCATCAGCCTCATGACACCCCATGACAGTGTAGTAGTGATCTGCTGGGGGAGCCAGGTCTCCTTTAGCAAACATTTTCAGGGCTTCAACAAAAGGCTGGATGGGATAGTATAAAAAATGAACGCAGCCCTCTTGATTATTCAGAGCATGTGGACCTGCAAAAGCTGTACATTCTACTCAAATACTATCCCCATAGACTCACTCATTCTTCAAAATTGGGCTTTCTGTAAAATGTTTGGCCTACGTGGGTGTGCACACTAATGTTAATGTTCAAACAGCATGAGCAGACAGCAACCCGGCAAATTTTCACTGACCTTATGGAGGCATTTAGAGTGGGCGGAGAATGATAGCATGAATGTTTTACTTTGAGATAGCACAGGCTTCAGAAGACTTTTGCTCACCTTATGTCACTTTATCAGCATGCCACTTTAGGGGCAGATATGACATCCATTTTAGAGGTAGAGAAATTGAGACTCAAAGAAGTGAGGTAACCTGTCCTGGACAGCACAGTTAGCGAGTGGTGCACTGGGAGCAGAAGCCAAGTATGCTCTAGTTGAAATTCCTTGTGTGCTTTGGTGATACAGTTTATCTTTTCACCAGTTTTCTGGGGGTCGTGGTGAATGGATATCAATATTCTGTGGCCTGGTGATAGCTTAAGCTTTTATTTGCAAGACTGAAAGGCAGTGTGTGAAAGATGCATGTTAATCTATTTCCTTTAGGTATATAATAGGCTCTGAAAACTATGGAGCTTGATGGGTAAATGTCCTCTGGGTGTCCAGGGGGAAAGAGCCGTGGTACTGACTCCTCCCCTTCTTCCTCAGGTGGACTCTGTCAGCCTACCCCCACTGCAGATCTCACTGGTCGACAAACTCATTAGTCAACAGAGCCAAATATGGTACTGACTCCTCCCCTCCTTCCTCAGGTGGACTCTGTCAGCCTACTCCCCCCACCACCCCCCGCAGATCTCACTGGACTGCTAGTGGACTCATCCCCAAGGTCTCTGTCACAGGTTGAACTGTATCCTTCAAAAAATATACGTTATTAAAGTCCTAACCCCCAGTGTCTCATAATGTCAGCTGATTTGAAAACATGTAGTTAGCTAAATTAAGCTGAGGTTACATTGGAGAATGGTAAGACCTTAATCCAGTATGACTGGTGTCCTCATAAGAAGACACAGACACACATGAAGGGAGAATGCCAGGTGGTGATAGAGGCAGATGTTGAAGAGCTGGATGTGCACCAAGAGGCACCAACATTTGCCAGCAAGACCACCAGAAGCTGGGAAGAGGGAAGGCATGATTTTACCCAGAGCTTCAGAGGGAACATGGCTCTGCCCAAACCTTGACTTTGGATTTCTGGCCTTCAGAAGTGTGAGAGAATACATTTCTGTTGGTTTAAGACAACCAGGTTGTGGCACTTTGTTACGGCAGGTCTAGGAAATGGATACAGTCCCTGCCTGGGTAGTGGTGGATAGACCAGCACGCTGAGTGGGCAAGTAACTCAGGCAAGATGGAGGATTAGGTGGGAACATGAATATGTTTCCATATTTAAGGTTGAATATGGTTCTTTCTTAAAAGACTTACAATCCCTGGAGTTGGGGAGGAAGAGAAGTGAGAGGGAGAAAGTAGGTCACCAAACTTTATTTATTGACAACTCCATACATTTCTGGTTTTCTATTTCACAAGGCCCTCTATCCTTACCAAACATTTCTCTAAGAGTGAGGAACAAGCAGCCCTAAGAATACATGGAGCTTCCCCTCCAGAGGGGGTCTAAAAGCTTTGTGGAAAGGCATAATGAAATCAGTCTTGAGTTATACTCTGTGAGAATGTCCCTTTTTCCTCGGCAAACTCACTAGTCAACAGAGCCAAATATCAACAGCACAACGATTGAAATTTCTTTTGAGAGCCAAATTTTTTAAACTTAAACTATATAGGTAGGTACAATGTTATTAACTTAATTAGGGTACTCCTAAGGCTTAGGAAGAGCCACACTCAAGGGGCCAAAGAGCCGCATGTGGCTTGTGAGCCGCAGTTTGCCGACCACTGTCCTAGACTAAATTTTATACAATCTGTGTACACGCATGGGTGCAGCATTCTTTGCACTATCTCACTGATACTAAAGAATTGTCATTCATTTGGCCATCAGCAGAGATTATACCAGAGGAGAAGAGAAACCTAAACTTGTCCAATGGTCTTTGTTGGGCTTCGCCTGATTCTGTACTCATGCTGGGGAGAAGGGGGATTGGGACTGACACGCATAGTGTAATGTAGGGGAGTTGTTCCCCTGCTCCCAGATGTTATAGCATCCGTTGTTACCACTGGCTTTGGCTACAGAAGGTGATGGAATGGGATGTGACCCCCCACCCCCCAACCAGACAATAGGGCTCCCCAGACACAGGAAAGACACTGGCAGTAAGAAAGCTTTGGGGTATTTATCCCAAGGACTTCTTATTTCATTCTCTATGCATTCAGAGTTGTTAATAAAATGAACAATGAACATAAATACATTGTGTATATACAATCAGCTTCCTGTCAGCTGGTTTCTTTCACCAAATTACCCTAAATGGCAGTCAGAAGCCATGAAAATGTCCCTTTCTTTTATTGACAAATACCTCCTAAACATTCCCTCCTTCTTGGCTTAACCCCATGGTAATTCTTTGTGATTAATGACTAGTCAATAAGTTTTGAAGCACAAGTAATGAACTTGCTGGTATTTATTTTCAAAACTCTGTAAATCAACTAAGAGTTGACTTCTTTTGGGATAACCTTTTGGTCAGTTGCCATCCAATTTTATTTTCCCCTCTCTGGTTTAAAATCATGTCAGTCTTTTTAAAGGAAAGTAAATTATGGTGGTGAATGCATTACCTCCAGCCTTTCTTCTTGATGATGCTCCCCAGAATCACTTCAGCCCTGGAGGGGAACACAGACAGTGTCTTAGGGTACAGTGGCCTGGAAATGCAAGAGTCAGTGCAAAACACCAGAGCCATTCCTTGTTTGAACTCTCAGGGCCTCCATGTCCCGAAAATAGAAGCTGCTCTCGGCTGGTGGCACAGTTTCCTCTGTTTCTGCTTGTGCCTGCAGAATCCCGCTCCAGAGCATCGCAGAGGCACCTGCCAAATCCTTTCACGCTGGCAGGAGACCACCTGTGGTCCTGACACTAAGAAACAGTGCAGTCATTTGGCAGTTTGGTGTTTTTAAACCACTGATCTCATCTCTAAATGTCCTATTTGGCTGTGTCCCAAAGGGGAGTCAAGGTTTTGCTTCTATTTGCTATGGCTTCCAATTATGACCTGGGAGGACAATGAGAGCTCACACTGTTTAGACAGACAATATTGACTCCCAGGAGATCTTGTAGGATACAAGTAGGTTTAGAAGATTCAGATGTACGGGCTGCAGATGCAGTGGCCCACATAAGAATGTCCTGGGTTCCAGTAACAAGCATTGTCATAGACGCAGGACATAAGGAGGTGTAGAGAAGTGTTCTCCCTGCACCTAAGGCTGGGTCATGGAGAGGTATATTGAGGACATACCCACTGTCCCATCCCCATCTTTCTAGCCCAGCTGGGACCCAAGCTTGAGGAGAATACAACTATCTTCCAGGGCTAGGCCCCTCCCAGTAAGACCAGTTCTGCTCTGTGAGGCTTTGTGAGTGGGGACATCAATGGAATTAGCACTTTGTCCACTAGGGTCCTATAGGTGGGAGTCATTACTAATCACTACGTGTCTTGACTGAAAGTTCCGTCTCTATTGGAGTGTACTTGGGAGCTTGGCAATAGCCATGAAGCAGTTAGCTATGGAGCGCACCCCAAATAGACGTGTGCTGAATGTTGCACAGTGTTCTTTTCTTCTCCCTTTCTGTCTCTCTGATGGTTGCCTTTGCAATCTTGCTTTTCATAGTGGGAACCTATCTCAGTTACACACTGACAAATCAAACACAATGAACCAGAACTGATTCTTCTTCACAGTAGGAATACAAACAGAACTCTTTACACACTTGTTGACCACTCTTCCCCTTTTTCAGCCTTAGCCCCACTGGGTATTGAGCAGCATTCAACAAAAGACGAAAACATGGAGAAAAGGTATGATGTTGAAAGGAGCAAGGCCTTATCAATTTTATGTTCTCTCCTTGGACTCAACAGAAAACATCAGGAATGTGGGCTCTGAACCTCCTAGATGGCCCTTAAACTTTTACACCTGTCCTTGAAAAGGAGGAAACCCATGCAAGGAAAATACACTTGGACCAGGCAACGATGAACCTGATTCAGCAAGTCTAGCATTTTGATTGTAATTCTCACCCGGAGTGGGGTGGAAATTAGGCCTGCAGGTGACCATGCACCGCAATCCTGTTAGAAAATTGCAGAGCTGCTCAAGCAGCTGTCCAGCTACTTAGTGCCTTTCAGCTCTTGGAGCTGCATCCACGTTCACAGTAGGAGGCCAAGGTGTTCCCGTTCTGTTCTAAAATGTGCTTGTTGTGCTGGAACCCGGAGGACATGGACCTTGGGGCTCACATGAGGGCATATTACCCAGGTGCTCTGACTTAGCAGTGAGCCCTGTCCCAGAGCCCAAACCTGCTCTGGGGTTCATGGGAAGGTTGTAGCTAAATGGGACTTCTCCAGAAAAAGAAGCGAGGCCTCTTTGCAGCCCCCTCTGTCCCCAGAGTGGGGTCTGAAATACCCTCTTATAAAAGACTAGAGGCCCAGGGTGAGGTCCCTCAGCCTGGCCGGTGATCGGGACTATTGGAGCCATCTTGCCCAGTCCCGATCAGGGCGATCTCAGGGGGGTTGGGAGGGAGGGATCGTGGGAGATTGGCTGGCTTGGGGGAGATTGGCCTCCCCCTCTCCCCCAGGCTGAGAATGCACTGACCACCAGGGGGCAGCTCCTGCATTGAGTGTCTGCCCCCTGGTGGTCAGTGTGCATCATGGTGACTGGTCGACTGGCCCTAACAATCACTTAGGCTTCTATATGTATAGATATTGGATTTCTTGGTATCTTTAAGGATCCTCCTTTAATCTCTGATCTCCCTATAATGCTACGTGGAGGAACAAGCCTGCAAACAGGAGAATCAGTTACTGCTTCCCTCCAAAGAGGACGGCCCAGTTTCCTTCGAGGGTTGAGGAACTATGAAATGTGGTTATGAAGTAACAACCACATTGGAATCTGCTCCTTTATTTGCTCACTCATATTTTGAACTAATATTTATTGATCTCCACTGCCACCACTCTGGGCCCAGCCATCTCTGCCCCTCATGTAGACCAAAGCAATTGCTTCCAGCCCATTTTTCATACAGGGGCCAGAGGTGGGAAGGTTTGGCTGGGCAGAGGGGGCCGGAGATGCGCTGGTGATGGTGGTGGAGGGAGGGGGAAAAGTGGTGCCATAACAGGTGTGGCAAGGACAGATCCTTCTCACCCGCATGTCAACAATGGTTAGGGCAGAGTCTCATGGTTCTAGAAATGCCACTTGAGGGACACAAACAGGTACCGACTTACTTTCCAGCAGCGTAGACCTCGGCAGTATCAAAGAGATTAACTCCGCTTTCGTAGGCGATCGTCATCAGCCGTTCAGCAACCTGCAAGAGGATGCAGTCAGTCAGAAAAGCCAAATGCTTTTCAAACCTGGGAAGCAATTTTAAATCCTTTAATGGTCTTTAAGAACATGGAAATTTCCCTAACCACTGCTTGTTTTTCTCAGTTGTAGTAAAGAAAGAAAACCAGAACTTCAGCTAGCCTATCGAGGGTGGATGCATCTTCCCCTGAGATATAGCCGGGCACTGAGGAACTTCCCCTCAGCACTGGGTTCCAGCAGCCCTAGGGAGCTCAGTGAGGTGGATAGATTGTTGCTCACTCTGCTTGGAAGGCCTGGTTTGACATTCTTTTTGGCACCGTAATCTCTCTGACACAGAGGGCCATTTGTTTTGCAGCTGACTCCATTTCTTCTCCTTTCTCTAAGCCAATGGACTGTGGCACCTGGGTGACTTGTGACTTAAAAGTTTGGACCTGTTTCCCTCAAGGCTTAGCAGACTGTTTTGATAAATGAAAGGTTAGACAGAACCGTGACTGTTTTAACTCAGCAAAACCCCAGACACCATCAGAGTGGCCAGCCAGCCGAATCCACAGGACAAGCAGAGGACGGAGTGGGGCACGGGGACCCAGCTCCTCACTGTCAGCCCGAAAACACATCTCCAGGCTCTGGTCCTCTCCTTTGTGCTGCTGATGCAAGTGGCAAGTGTGACAAGAGAGTGGGGGTGGCTATAAATGACAGCTTGAGGGACAGCCATTGAGGAATAGCGATAAAGAGAGGTGGAGAGGGACCATTTTTTCATTTAGACTTATTAGCCAATTGGGAAATTACACACCTCACAAATAATTAAAATTGATTTTTCCATTTATGCTTTTGATTGTGGGCTGAAGTGCTTCATCAGCATTACCAAGATAAAGTACTTTCCTGTTTTTAAAATTGGCCAACCAAAAAAATTCTTAGGCTAGCAAAACAGAGACCCTGAAAGTCCGTTAGGAAAAAAGCAGCAAAAGTACTACTACTGCTTTTAATTTACCCCAATTAGAGATTAAAAGTTAAGACAAGCATAGTTTTTCCCATCATGACTGTTCTGTGTTTAAGAAATTACTGTGCTTATATTATAATATTAACCTTGTGCCATGTCACATGACATGCTGATGGATTGTTATTGGAAAACATACATAATAAATCTTATACAGAGAGAAATTTGAAGATAAGATGGAGACTCCTAGATGGAGAGTTCGACTAAATGATTGCTGAGATGTTTCCCAACCATGGCGTTTGGAGACCTCAACGCGAAGCAATGAAATCACTGAACTAAGTCAGAAGACCAAATTCTAGTCCTGAGATGAATTTATTGGTACCTGCAATTGAAAGAACCCTAACTACTTTACTGATGAGAAAATGTAAGTAAAACTCTGAAAATTAAGTGCTATAAGATGATAATACACTCTTACCATTATTTAAAAATACTATACATATGAATAACATCTATTTTGGTTTTATAATGAAGCCAAATCATCTTTGGGAGGCACCTCACAGGGTTATTTAGTTTCATGTTTGAAAAATTTTGATGAGATCCCTGTCCAGTGGCTACTTAATATATGGTTGAACTATCCTCGTAACAGGGACATCATCCCTTCCAGGGGCAACACTGATGATTGCATCACCCAGCACATAATGGTGTGGTCATCCCAGGATCCCTTGTTTGTATTTGCTTTGTGCTGAGCTCATCCGAAGCCAGAGAGAAAGTGGGACAATCTAGGGAGGTGGATTTATTGCTATTGGCTTACATTTTTGCCACGTGGAAATATTTGAGCTCCAGCAATTCAGCCACTGGCGTGACCGGTCTACCTGTACCTCCCTTCCTTCTCCTTGCTGGCATTCTCTCTGCAGGGACCGGGGGGAAAGCTGCAACTCTCTCTGGAAGGAGAGTAGATATTTGTCTGATCTATATCCGAGGTGAGAGCTGCTCCAGCCACTCATGACAACTTTATTGTGCAGTTTTTAGAATCATAATTTTGAAATGATTCATTTCAGAGGATGACCTAGGCAAGCTGGGCCTCCTCCACACACCCTACCTGATACCAGTCAGAAGGCCCTGTGATGGCCACCCAGATCCTCCTTCAGAATTGAAGGACTTATTCCCGTAGCTGCTTAGGAATCCTGGCTTTCAAGTTACCAGGCCACTCTGGAAATTGCACTCGGCTAAAGAGAATCGCCTAGATCAAACCTACTTCCCAGAGCAGCTTCTATCCAATGGTTGGTCATACAAGGGATGTAAATGCTCAGTCCTTTGGCCCAACTTGGGACAATCCTACATGACCATCTCAGCTTTGGAGCTCCCAGTGGGGTTAGCTGAGGTCATTGTTGAGACTGCATCATGCCTCAGTTTCACTGTCTGCCCAATTCTGCTTCCTTCTCTGCCATGTGTTGATTCTGAGATCACTTCCTAATACTGTTCTGTATGCTCATCTCCATCTCGGAGTCTGCTTCTCAAGGAATCTCCTATGTGACAATCTTTCTGTGGTGACCTATGCCCAATACTGGAAACAGGCATTCAGACAGATAAGAATATGTGGATACGACTCATCCCCCTGGATCTATAAGCTAATGCTAGTAGCCTTGGGAACTGGGTAAAGATCCCCAGGCCCCCCAAGCTTCTGTTTAGGAACGATAGTAAGAACTACCTTTACAAATGACTTGTTCTGGGACAGGTATTGGGCTCAGCACATTATAGGTAATTCTTAATCCCTTCACCTTTTTCACCCAGTTCTCCACACCCTCTCCCCTCTGGCAACCATCAATCTATTCTCTGTGTCTATGAGTCTATTTCAATGTGTTTGTTGTTGTTGTTGTTCTTTAGATTCCACATATGAGTGAAATCATTAGGTAATGAGCTTTCTCTGCGTTACCATAATTTCCTCTAGGTCCACCCATGCTGTTACAATGGTAAGGTTTCATATGAAAGCATTCCTTAAATGCAATGATAACATATAACCATGATAAGCACTCTTTTTGAATTGTAAACAAAAATTTAAAGGAATGTAATGAGTGTCTGCCATTTATTGAGTGTCTGCTACCTACCAGTCAAAGGGCTATATAAATGTCTTACATGCATAACATGGTTAATTCTTTGTATAGATCTTGAAGGTCCACATTATTATCCCATTTTACATAGGATAATCTGAGACTCAGAGCAATTGGATTAACTTGTCCAAGCCGGGATGACCAACTGTCCTGGTTTGCCTTGGTCTGAGAAACCCCCTGCTAAAATAAGGAAGTCCATGCCAATTGGGATCACTTTGGTCACCCTGAATGGAGCTAAAACAAACAACAACAATACAATCTTTCCATAAGGTGACTAATATTCATTCCAAACTGGTTCCTTCTCCCTATCTACTGAGCCTGCACATATAATGCACTGACAGTCTCAAGGATTAATAGTCTAAATGTGAAAAATACAAGAAGCAAGATAAAATTGAAAATAATGCTTGAGTCAATCTTAGCCATTTCCCATGATTAAAGCAGTCCTTGTAAAATGCCAGAAACTCGGGCAGAATACTCCTACCGCATAGCTCTCTCTGCATTTTCTTTGATCAGCACAATGGAAGACAAAAGTAACTTACCTCATCTGAAATTTGACCTCCAAATGTCACCCATGTTCCTAGAAAAGAATAAATATTCGTATATTACTTACAACATAATCATTTTTCTAATATTGTGTATAATGAGAGGAAACAATTTTTCTTACAAGACTACTTCAACAGGTTGTTTATGAAGGTACTTGGATGAGGGGCAACTGGGGGCTGAAGTCCAGCCCATCCTCCTCCTCTCACTAAGTCATCCAGCAGGAGTCTGCATCCCCCTGGAGGAGAGAGTGCCCTTTCTTCACTCATACGTACCACATTTGCTAAGGGCAGCCCATTCCTACACAATGCTTTCTCTTCTGACAGAGGGCCGTGAATGCTAATGTGCAAGAAGGCGATGTTACCATGCCTGCTCTGAGTACACACCCATTCTTACTCTCACTTAGCTAAGGAGCCACCCTTAGTAGAAAGTGAAGGTAAGATCTTGGGTTGTGGTTCTTTCCTTCATTGTCTCCAACAATCGAGTCTGTTTTGTATTCCCTCTTACCTCTCAAAAGGAACCCTCTCAAATGTCTTCCCAGTGCCCACTTCCAAGCCCCAGGAGGTGACACCACCTTGTACTTACTTGCAGACTTGTTTGCCTGGCTAAAACAATGTTGACCAGCTTGCTATTTTAATAAAATTTGAATAAGGTACCAACATTTAAATAATTAGGAGATTTTTCTTTAAAATGTTTGATTTCTAGTTTCTCTTAACAACAGAAGGCTGGGTGTCCCCACAGGCAGACATCCCTGAATTGAGGGGCAATGTCCTCTGTGGGAAGGCTGGGCCCTCCACAGTCTATCAAAGTCCACATACCTTCCTTTGCATTTCCAACACTAAAATCAAATGCAGTTGTTATTTCCTGCCACATGTTCATTGCTCTTTTTTTAAATTGTAAAATTGAGAGAAAAACAAGCTTGTGCATTTCCCAAAAAACAGAGTGGAGGATTCATGAAAAAAAAAATAGGAGTGTAATATTTTTTTTTGGTGCATGTGAAGAACATAAAAACACAGATTGTTTGCCCAGAAAAATTATAACTTAAGGCAGCATAATAAAACCAGCCGTGACTGGTATATAAAAAAGATGGGCGTTGAGAAACTTAATGAACTAGAGAAATGGCAGTGTTTGTTTTTGAATGAAAGCAAAATAAGTGATCACTGTGAAATGCAGTTCTCTTAGGTGAAAAAACAGCTATGGCATCAAAACCTTTTTACAGACAATATTGTTATAAAAGAGTCTCTTTTGAATGCAGCAGAAATCATGTGTCCAGAGAATAAACAAGCATTTGCAAATTTTAGTATAATCAGAATCATTGTACTCAGCATGTTAAAAATATGGTTGAAAACTTTCAGAATAAGTTAAATTATTGGTGGCATTTCCTATTGCAGCCAATGAGATCACAGATATAAATAATAACATGCTGTTTGCTGTGCTTATTTGTGATATTTGAGAATTTTGGAAGGGTCAAAGAGCTTTTGAACAAGAAGTTCTGCAAAGCACAACATCAGGAAATGGTTTACTTTGTGACGAGAAAGGTCTCAGGCCAGTGGATGTAAGATGCTCTGTTTTGAGTTATGTGTTGACTACAGATAGGGCTCTCTCACAAAGGATGGGGCTAACATTGAACCTGTCAAGCACCAGATCCCCAGGCGGCAGCATTTTGTAGGGGCACTAAATATTGGAGTCCATAACTGTTCATTTTCTCATTCATCAGGAGTTTGCTTTGGGCTGAAAAGCTCAAATGAGACAGGCCACGAATTCAATAATTAATGCCATAAATTGGCCATTCTTTTGCATCTTGGAGCAAAATTAGGCCAGTGTCTGCTTGATGAATTTGCTGGTTTACTTATACTGAGATGACAGATTATTTTTTTTAACTGTTCATGTCATCAAAGGGAGCAGTCCTATCTCCAAAGACTGACTCGAAGTTCTAAGTTTCTTGCTGAAATTACAACTCATCTACACCTTTTGAATTTTTTCTATAGGTGCATTTACAAGTATTTGCATAAATATCTCATTTGCTACTCTCAGTTCTAACAAAATAGAGTCTTTGGGAAATTTCAGTTGTTAAAGTATAATTTACTCAACTTTCCTATATTGCAGTCAGTTTCCAGAAATGAAATTGATAGCCTGAAATTTAGTCTTTGAAACTAGGCCATTCATTAAATACTGGATTTCAAACTTTATGAAAATAAACCAGAATTATTTGCTTTAGCTTTCTTAATTAAAAATGTTTAGTTGTTATAGTATTACAGATATCTCCCATTTTCTCCCTTTTTGCCCCTCTCCACCCAGACCCCACTGCCCCCCAGGTCTCTCCCACACTATTGTCTGTGTCCATGTTTTATGCATTTATGCATATATGTTCTTTGGTTAATCTCTTCCTGCATTCCCACCCCTGAGATCTGTTATTCTGTTCCATGCATCCATACCTCTGGCCCTATTTTGTTCGTCAGTTTATTTTGCTAATTAGATTCCACATATAAGTGAGATCATGTGATATTTGACTTTCTCTGGCTTATTTTGCTTCTTAATTAATTTTTGATAGCACAAATGAAGTGATATGATTTGAAGTTCTCAAAATGTAGTACAAAATGGCATTGAAGACTAAATATGACAACACTGATAGCCAGACTAATGATGGCAACATTACACACAGATCTTGGAGGAGATTATTCTACTTACAAGAACCATTTACAACAATTCTATCCATGTTGGGAAAAGCTTATTTTTAGAAATATGAATCTGAAAAATCAATCTGCATAAAACTACCTACCAAACTTATTTTTAAGTATTTAAGACTGTAAACCATATATCGCTGTGAGAATATACAAGACCTGACTGACATCGTGGTATAGAATAAAGATGTCAGGTTTTTTATTCTAAATAAAAGCAGTAATGAATTATGAAAGAAATAGTAATTATTAAATGTTTTCTTTTTTAGTTATTTAAAAAAGTTTAGTATGAAATAGAACACGGGTAGCATATACATTTACCCTAAATATATACATGATTCCATTTCTGGGACTCTGTTATTCTTACACTCAGCTTACTTTGTGGAGGTAGGCTACTACCTGGCCCTTTAGACATTCCTTACTCATTTGTTTTATAGTTATTTGTTTACCAACTTTATACCTTTTACTAGGCAGTGAACTGTCTGAAGGTTAGTTTTTTTTTTTCATTTATCATCTCATCTCCACAGCCCTAAAATAGAAGTGAGTCCTTAGTAGATGGTCGATAATTGTTGGTTATATTAAATTGCCTTTGGACTGTCATTAATCTATAAAATACTGGATAAATTTCTTAGCAAACCAGCATTCTTCTTTCAATTTCAAGAAACATGAGCAATGGTCATCAACAGTCCTAGGCCCGAGGTGATTAACGTGTTTTGGTACCTTCCCCTGGAGGGGGGTTCTCCTTGGCAGCAAGGCCTGGGCGGGGGGCGGGGGAGGGTGTGTGTATGGCACAGTGTAGGCAGGGTCCATCAGCCACCCCGAGGGAGAGGTGTCTCTTCCAAATAGGACATATTCCCTCCTGATGGAGAGGGACAGAGTGGCAGCCTTCCCAAGAGGGGACTCTGTATGATTTTATTCTCTACCGCCCGCCTCCACAAGGTCTAAGGTGGTTTATTAGTTCATATGATTGTCAAAACCCTCTGTGACAGTTTTCTTAATCATTTTTCTGCCTCTAATGAGAATATGCCTTCTTGAGACTTAGGATGGCAAGTGATTACTTCACTGGGAAATCTCAAATTAGTGGGATGTTATTTAGATGATAAATTTATTAAACTGACATTTGTTATTTCTAATCTTTTAAAAGCAGAGGGAGTATAAAGAGAAATTGGATTGTTCTTGTATTTTCTGGTGAAACTCTTTTATGCACCAAGAAATAGATACTTTGAAAACCTCTGTTCGGGTCCCTTGCACACCTACGATGGCATAGAAAAATGATCGGAGAAATGGAAAAAAGAAAACTACTCTCTCTCACTCTCTCTCTCTCTCTCTCTCTCTCTCTCTCTCTCTCTCTCTCTCTCTCTCTCTCTCTCTCTCTCTCTCTCTCTCTCTCACACACACACACACACATCTTGGATACTTAGTTACCTTGCTGGTGGTTTACTTCTTGTCATTCATTAAGGAAACATGCTTATCATTTAAATGACCTGCTTGCTTGAGTATGAAGAGCTATTTAGACATTTAGATATAATACTTGTTCACATAGGCTACCTCCCTGGCCCTTTAACACTTTATCTCATCATAGTGCAGTTACCAAACCAGAAAATTAACATTGTACAATATTAGGAACTAAACCACGGACCTTTTTTGAATTTCATTGTCCTCTTTTCTATTCTAGGATCCTATACAGGACCCCATGTGACATTTTGTGTTCATGTCTCCTTGGACTCTCCCATCCGCCCAACCCCAACCAACTTTCCCCTCTTAATGACAGGATGGTGTGGAGCCAGCACTGCTCTTTCAATAAGATACATAACTCGCACAAGTACCTTGATGTTCATATGGATGCAAGATCCAAACCAAACAAACAGAAAGCAGATACCAGGAATCTGGCCTGAAGGGAAGTCTCAGATGACAGGGCTGGGATGTCCAGACAGGTGACAGAGGTGAATTGGCTTCTTGCCCTTGGCACTTTCTACCAGTTGAAGAGCATGAAATGGATCTACCCTCCTGCTGGGGAGGCAGTAGAGTGAGTTGTTGAGCGAGTAGGGGAATCAGGCAGCTCTGGGCTGGAGTTCTGACTCAGTCACTCACTAGCACAGGGAGGAAAGGTAACAATAATAACTAGTTTACAGGGTTGTTAGGAGGATTTTGTGAAATTTGGTGGGCATTTCACGGCCTCTGCCACACGTGAGCATTAATGTCGTTTCAGATCAATGGTTCCTACACCTTGGGGTGCATTAACAACCTTCTAGGAGCCCCACTCTGAGATTCTGGTTCTGCAGATCTGAGGTAGACTGTGGGAGTCTTTATATTTAACAAGCAGACCAAGTGATTGGGAAACAAAACCCTGAGCAACCCA